TGGTACTTTTCCGTTATTTGGACACATTTTTTCAAGAAAGGGTACTGTTTTTTCCCTCGTACTATATCTGGTCCCAAATTCACAGGAAGGAATGTCAACTGCCACGTGTCAAAAAAAATTGACATGTCACTTACATGTTTAACAGATGTGACCAGGAGTTTGAGTTGCCCTACGTAGCGCCGTAAATTCAATCTGTTTCTAGTCAACGGTGGCCCCAACCTCAATTGAACGGTAGACTTGCCCGGGATAAAGAAGTGGGCTAGGGTCCAATCATCTAAGTGACAACAAGCAGTAGCGAGGAACAAGAAATCAATTATAGTGTCGGCTGGCTAAATTCGCAAGGCGAAAGTTTTGAAGAGAAAGACAATGCTGAATCATTGCTGTAAACGATTAAGATGTTCTAATATAAGTTTTAAATTGTTTTGCTCTTATAGAAAACAGTCAAACAAGCTTTTAGGTAGTCACAAATGCTCTTTTACCTCGCCGGAAATTTCGAGCAGGGCCCGGCACGAGGTGGGCAAATGACAGGCTGAAGATCGTTTTGAATGAAAAAAGGAAAGGGGTTATCGTTTTCGCGGGGTCCACAAACTACCATTTTTCCGGGGGCGGAGCCCCGGAAAAATGGTAGTTTGTTCTCTCTGCTTATCTTAGCATGTTAATACGTGCCTTAATAGGCGCGCAGTGGAGTTCGCGCGCGTCAAACCGCGCCGCCGCTGACTGCCGCACGCGCGACGTCGCTTGACCGATGCCTTTTGAAAAATATAAGCTCCTGCAAGACGAAGGCGGTCGATTCGATGCGCAACGCGGCTGCGACATGGCTGCGTCACAGCCGAGTCACAGCCGCGTCACAGCCACGTCGTACCTCGAACCGACCGCCTTCGTCTTGCAGGAGCTTATACATATATGACTAGTTCTCAGTGCATGCGTATTTATATGGTACCAAATCTCGTAAGCGAACGAGGCTGGTGGAAACAAAGTATGAAAAAATATGAAAAACTTATGTAAATGGAAGGTGTACTAAGCATTTCTTCCAAAAATTTCTCATAACTGGTGAATGCAGTTGTGAATTCAAATGGCTCGTTTGCGAAGCACAGGCGACGATATGGCATGAAACTTTGTGTTGCATGGATACGGCCCAGCAGGAGTTCATTGAGAATTTTCATTGAAAAATTATGTGACTGAAGATTAAAGCAAGCTTTTTCTGAAAATTTCCCGCTACTAAAAAATGGAAAAATAGCTCGTTTGCAACGCGCAGATGACGAAATCGCGCGAGATTTGGTGTGCACACGCGCAGTAGGACTAAAGAACAAAATATAAAAGTTTGAAAAACTTACGTGAATGTAAATTGCAAATTAGGTGGGCAATTGCCCACCTAATGCCCACCTGAGGTAGGCAAAACTTTCAGTTCACATAAGTTTTTCAAAATTTTCTTGTAAATATGATGTACACCTAAAGTTTACTCTATGGTAGGATTTTGGTTCCGAAACTCCTCCTATTCTCTTTGTTAGACCCCGTCGCATCAGCAGCCCAGCTTTCTAAAAAGGAAAGCGCGCTCCAATTTCTTCAATCCTTCAGATTTTTTCTTGCTTATTCTTCTACCTCTTTTCTATCTTGATAAAAGTGAGGAATAATTAGAAGATTTTTGGGCGCTTTTAAGCACTTTCAGGCGAAGTGTGACCATTGCTCTCGTTGCATAAGCACAAAGCATCGTTTTCGGGCTCAAAGGGGTATTAGTAAAAAATTTTGGAATCAATGGGGAATTCGTTTTGAAAAACCCCATTGCCCACCTCGTGCCGGGCCCTAATTTCAAAAAAAAAACATGTCAAAATGGACCAAAAAGGTGTCAGTATTTTGCTGACAGGTGGCAGGGAGGTAGTCTTCGTAAAATCCATGAAAACTTGTTCTTATACCAAAGAAAGTATTTTATGAGAGCCTTTTGAAAAAATGGGTCTGGATGACGGAAAAGTACCATTTTTGTGAGTGATAGAAGGCTATATGACGGGCTTTATGCCGGATCTAACATGCATCTGTTTTTCACCAATCACCAACATCGTAGTGCAACAATCAAATCAGCATTAGCTCGCTCTATTCGGAAACATCTCAAAACCTTCATTTGCCGTTTACTCTATACGCAGGCACTGCCTTACAAATTTATACAATAATTACAGAAGTCCTAGATCTGAGCACTGAAATAGAGCAATTCTCGTCGTTGACACTGCTGAGCATAACAGTTAAATCAATTCAAAGACATACTTGCAAGACAGCACATTTTGGGAACAATTGTATTTTGGTTACCTGAAATGCATTTGCTATTTGAAAACGTTCTCTCACTTTCAACATTCATACGCTCACGAAAAATACCTACATATCTCATAAATACGAACTATGGTTTTACCTAGAAGGCTTTGTGTCTGGACTTCGCCACTCATTGCGAATAAAAGGTTGCTGTTCTTACGCGGTTATTCGCAATAGTACTTTGTTGTAGTACAAAGTGTATTCCAAAATCCCAGCTCGAAATGGTTTAGGGAGAAATTGAGCTTGTTCTACTGCCGAGCAAAATGTAGTTTAGAAATATCATTTTTGTTCCTTTCCAAAAAGCCTTTTTTTCTTACATTCTTACATTCGGAAAGCGGGCTCCAAGAAGTCCAAAATGCTTTCCATAGTGTTTGCGAGCATTATATTAGGTCGGTTTGAAAGTCATATCAAACGAGCGTAGGATCCCACTTAACGAAGTTTCTCAAAAGTTTTTAAGTAAAGCTTTTCATCTTCTTTCAAGCACTGTCCCTTCTTCCAGTTTATCCGACAATCTATCAGAAATCGACGAAAAGTCATGATTTGCGTCCTTACCACAGTCGAGTTTTGCTAATTTTCTGAATTTTTATAGCGAATCACCAGAAGAACTCAGCGGTATGGATAGAGCCAAAGCTTTGTTTTCTATAGTTTGCTTGAGTCTTAACAACAATTTTTCTTTTCCGTTGAATCCCAAATGTGATAAACTCAAATCTCATGGAACTTGTTTTGTATCCTGTAGAGTTTGCTCTACTTACCAGTTACATAAACTTTCTCAAGAAATTACTGTGAAAATTTGAAAAATAGAGAGGTCGTACTTTTCGATCTTCAAAAAGCTCCTTCGTTAAGGAAGTCACGCTTGAAAAAGAATCAAAAGCTGCTTGCAAGTTGTTCAAAGCTTTCGAGAAGCTTTGTTTTGTGGGATTTTACGTGCTTTTCTCAAAGGCGAAATTATCTTTGGAACGATCTAGTATAACATAAACTTGTTATGAACAGAGATTTTACATCTTTTCCAGGTTTCTAAGAATGCTGTAATCACAATTTTGAGGAGCACTGAAAAAACAATTGTTGCGGTAATCCTTGCATAACCTGTAAACTGAGATTGTGGTAAAGTACAGTTCGTTTAACCCTTTTCCCTCATGTCGAGTCGCAACTTCTCAGCCCAAAGAATTAAAATTAAACGATAACGAAAAGTTGCCTGTGTTACCCATCCCATCCAATATTCTAAATGTTAGTTTTACATCCAACTCAGAAGTGCATACTTATGAAAGAAGTCGAAATATACATGTGCACAAGACAATCTTCTTTATAGGTAAGATATGTGACTTCACGTTCGAATAGTCATATTATACAACTAACTCAACGCATAGATTGTAAGATTCTCATATCACCGAATTTTGTGCAATGCAGAATTTGGTTAGGTTTGTATGAAGTGGCATTTCGACTTAGTGTGACTGAATAAACAGCACTATCTCAGCAATCAAGCAAGGGTTTTGCTTGAGAACTATAATCTCCCAATAGCTAAGCCATCTAAGGCGGTGATCGGTAGAATTCTGCGAGCAGAAACGTAGCCCAAGGCTTTTCACGCGCAGGTAATCTACCTTTAGAATATGTCAATTTAGAGCGAGCTATCATTGCTTTATTGGACTAGTTCTTATCTAATGAGGTATTGTCAAGCTCATTTCAACACCAGCAGTGAGCTACAAATCCGCGTTTATGCGGACAAAAATCTGAAAGAAAAGCTCAGTCAACTTACGATAAAATCCTTATTTACAACTAGCTGGCTTACCCGGCTCCGCCGTATGTTCCGAATAGAAAATTCCATTTCTGAACCGATAGGGACCAAACTTAGCACACATACACCCCGGGGCCGGCGGGTGTCATAGGCTACTTTTCGTCATCGATCGATATCGATTTTATCGATTTTATCGATTTTTTGCAAAATTTGGGCTAGGGGGCTGGAATTTGGCAGGGGGTGTAATCGAGCATGCTGATCACCACTCCCACCCCTGTAGCTCAGATTTTGCAAAAAATCGATAAAATCAATATCGATCGATGACGAAAAGTAGCCTATGACACCCGCCGGGGCCCGAAGTGTATGTGTGCTAAGTTTGGTCCCGATCGGTTCAGATATGGAATTTTCTATTCGGAACATATGTACACACATACAGACAGACAGACATACAGACAGACAAACAGACATTCAGCTTTATATATAAGATTTTTGTCCGAGCACGAACATCATATGATTGTCCATTCAAGAGTGTTTGATCTAGCAAAGAGAGGATACTCTCACAACTTGGCATTATGGATAATGACACATATACTCGAAAATAGCTCAAAATTGTGTAAGATAAATTTCTTATGTGAAATCGTTATTCTTTGCTGCGAAAGATCAATCAAACTAGAACTATTTTTTCTCTGATCAAATTTGCAGCTTGTGTTCGTTCTTTCCATCCCAACTCTGTTTCGGCAGTCTTTTGAAGCGCGTTTTTCATCTAGAATAACTCCTAGTTGAAAGGTACAAGGGAAGGATTAAGCTCAGGACATAGATCAAAATCGAAATTTAGAGAATTATTGGAATCAGCAGGCAAAAAGCCGAAAAATAGTAGAGCGAATTTGTAGTCAAAATTTGTCTGAATCTTTAGTTTCGCTGCTTAAGATTAACGAGAAACCTTTATGCAGCGTGTTGCGAACAACTAAAATTCTTAGGGATAACAGTGACAGTGATTTAACAAGGTTTCAAAAAGTTCTAATACACGATCTATAATATTTTTCTAGAAAAAGATTCAAGTTAGCCTTATGCACCGTATTGCATCGATATCTGGCGAATTTATCATCTAAAAGATACAAAGGGTATACATGGAAACATCGTAGTTCAATTCTCGAATCTATGCAGTGCTCATCCCATGTAAATTCTGCCCAATCGTTGTGGATTTTGGATACACAACCTGTTTTTTGAGCCGTGACAAGTGGTAGTTCACTTTCCGATAGCAGCCCTGCAGCACTGATTGTTTGCGTTACAAGTGTACCCTGCCGGGCACTGTGCATTCACGCAAGGCCCTGCAATTCCGTTTTGAATGAAGTGTGAGTGTATAAAAGAATACATACCTACGCATTGTTGCGATGCATACGAATAACGCGAAAGCAGTGAAAACAAGCCTCCATAAGAGTACATCGGGACGGCAACAGGGTAGTACATGGGATAATAGCCTCGGGAAGATGAAGATGTACCACAGCATTCTAAATATGGAAATTATATTTATAAATATATTCAAATTTTTATGTCTATTGGAAAGTCATTAGTGCAAGTTATAGTTTAGATACATTGGAAGGTCAGCCTCAGACTTGTGCAAAACAAACAGACGTGGCCAACATTTGCTCTCCGCATTTGCAGGCTCATAAAATAGCCTATGTCACTTAAATGCACAAAGAAGTTCACTTTGCGACATGTTAGCAGTAGGGGCTTTTATGGGGTACGTTCTCTGTCAAAGCTGATGAAATTTTTGAAGCAGAATATATAAAGGTCAAACCCTCAGGTAAGAAACCAAAGTGAACAAGTTTTATGGAATTTCGCACTTCCTTGTTACAAGGTTTACATCCTTTGTTAAGTGATCCTGCGCAAATCTAGCAGCAGTTTGATGCACTAGATGTCTTTTGAAAGTTTACATCTTACACTCGAAAGCAAACACAAAACTATAGAAACGACCGCGATTTTGAGCTTGAAACATTTTGATAAACTACGTTAGCAAAAGGAGTTCGGTCCTTCCTTGAGGGTTGAAAAACGAAGAGAAATTGATGAGGGCAACAAAAACCCCGGGGCTCACAGAATTTTAGACAATTTCTTCTTTGTAATATTTTTGAAATAGCTGACAGCATTCTTACTTGACTCCTAATGAAACGTGCATGTACCTAATATTAATTGTAATCTGTGAGAGCCCGCGAGATAGAGAATTTGGCTCTAGCACCCTTTGCTGGGTATCAGAGTCAAAATCCAGCATAGGGTTACATAAGGGGAGATTACAGCATCATCAACTGTTATTCACCTACAAAGGCAGTAGATGTAACTCGATAAATACTACGAGAAGCACGGAGAATTTGTCGTGAAACGCAAAATAACTCGTTCTACAAGTTTGTTTGCTCGACTTCGTTGCAAAGATAAGCACAACACCAAGAGATGATGAAATTGAAAAAATTGAACTTCAAAGCTGAAAAGAGAATGGAGGCAGACTTTTGGAACTCATCACAACGATTCATCTATTCCATGACTTTTTTGCCAAAAGAAAAAAAAAACATCGGCGCTGCACAGTGATCATCGTAGGAGTCAAGAGATGGGACATATGCGGAGATCAGTCATATACTTGTCAAATGAAAGTTTTGATCAATGCCAAAGTGTATTTTTAGAGCTTTTCTTTCGGTACCATTTGATTCGAACAGCACCGTCAGACAAATTTATCAGGGTGTTCAAGAAGATCTGACGGTGCTGTCCAAATCAAATGGTACCGAAAGAAAAGCTTCGAAAATATAAATGCCCACGCTACGTCTGCGCATCCTACAGCTAAACGTTCCGTCATTCACAATATGTATAAGACCGAGAAGGCATAATTGGATAATGAGGTAATATGGTCAACATTCCTAGTAGTAACATAAGAAAGCGGTTGATCAGGACTAAACTGCATGACGTAGATTGTATATTAGAAGAATGCATCGTCTGCCCTTACGGAATAGGTGATTGCGCGATGGAAGGGTGTGTTTATTAGTTGAAATGCCTGGACTGTTTCATGTCATTTATAGGAGAGAAGGGAAGTCTAAGTGTTAGAATAAGAGAACACCTGGCTAAAGCGAGAAAATCTGTCATCACCGTTAGGCAAACATAAGATCGAGGCACACGATGAGAGTGATTTTAATGTGAAGTGTACGATTTCAGAGCACGAGGTTGAAGTTTCGGCAAGAAAATTGTCAGAAGCCCGTGGATACACGCCGGAAATAAGGGAGTGAACAACAAAAATGCTCGTGATTATAACGGCCGATCCCTTGCTTCTTATGTCACTATGTGACCTTGAACCGACAATATACAAGGTGTCCCAAAAAATGTACCTACTCAGACTGGGAGCGGACGAGCCGCGGCCCTTTTCCGGCTGGATGTTCGCAGTTCCCGCAGCCCGGCCGCAGAGTGGGCCTCGGCACAGCCGTACTAGCCTGACCTAATTGGGCCTTGGCCCACCACTTATAGAGCTTCTCTTTTTCACTAAATCAATAAAATTTGATAGCCTAAGCCGGACACAGATACACGTAGAACTGTCTTTTATTTACTGGCACTCAAAGTAAAAAAAAAAACAAAAATTGAAGCCCCCGTATAGCAGCTTCGGTAGCCAAGCCCCTTCAAAATTGGATGACGCCAGATGCTATCCAAGGTTGCTTACAAGACAGCTATTGATCTTGTTCCAGCCTGGGAGACTGGAATCGCATCCAAGACTATGGACCTTGAGGGTAACCTGACCATGCGTCGTATATCACGCAGCTATCCTTTACGCTAAGACACTTAGAGCGGCCAAACGCTGTCTTCTTTGACATAGGCCGCGGCTCAACCGGAGTTTCTTACACGGATTTTGGTACAGGGGTTCAGCCGCTGCATTGCTCCGCTCCATCATTAAAAACCGCATTTGAACCGGTGAGCCCATTTCCTCCCGCGGTTGGGCCGGTGCAATGATAACGACATGAACGAAGGGCCGCGGGTCGGCCGCACCCCGGCCACGCCCCCAATCTGAGACCGCGGGCGGACCGGAAAGGCCTTTTGGGGCCGCGGCTCGTCCGCTCTCAGTGTCTGAGTACTGTTTGATTGTAAATAACTCTCTTGTAATTAAGTGTTTCGAAAAGTTCAGGTACCGTTTTGTAGAGCGAGGTTAAACTTAGATTTACAGTATGGAGCGAATAATCGTTCCCTCTTCATTACCGTAGTACGGTAAGAAATTCTAGCATATTGAACCATTGTGAAAAATACTACCTCAAAAAATTTCTTTCAAAAATTTCAAAAATTGTATACTAGGGTTTTCGCGCATGCTGATTCCACCTAACAACTTTTTGGGAGTGTTTTCAGCTTTTTTGATGGTGTTATTACATATCTGACAAATGTTAGGAATTGAGTTGTTACGATTTACCGGGGATAACTTAGGAAAGAAGCATCACAGTAAAATAGAAATTGGAGCTAGTTTACCAAAGGCATCGCAGATTCCTCGCTTCCTCGAGTTGGCAGACCTTCTAAAAAGGTGGGCAAAGTCACGCGGCATTGAAGTGAATATAACGTTGGCATAGCTGCCTCGGAGACTTCACGGACAGGCGATCGTTTAGATGCTCAAAGATAGATACTGGGAAATAAGCCCTATGGTAATCATTGCCTATGCTTCACAATTCGGATGTAGGATGGATATTATGAACACATTCTGGCAGGAGTCTCAAACAGATCACCATTCTACATGAGATGCCCCTGCTAGGAACGGACTTTGAGTGGCATGTGGGAGAAGGGCGAGAAAGGGCCATAAAATGTGCGGAGACCATCGACACGAAACATACAAGTAAGCTGAGCTCAAATGGTAGTCTCCCCTTATAATTTTCTTGACGAACGCATGCTACAATTTAAGGATGACTACTTTATTACATGCACGAGTGGCAACAACTGCATACTCTAGCATAGTTTGCTCATTCTCGACATTGAAATCTCAATAACTAGGCCTTCATCGAAGCCACAAACACCAAGATAAGCATCAAATGGTGGAGATTGTAAACCAACAGCATGGCAAAGCAAGCACTCTAATGCAACATCTCATTCAAGCCTGCAAGTGAATACAGAGCATGTCTAGGCAAGCTTGAAAGAGCAATCGAGAAACGTGGTGGTAGATTGGCAATGTGGAAGGACTCATAAATGAAATAGCGATGAGCACAAGAGTGGCCTTGATACGAAATCGGAGCACTATCGTCAGACAAATCAACAAGCCAAACAAGCTGCCAAGACTTTGTTGAAGGTGTGCATGCATGAACTCTACAAGCAGCTGGAGTAGCGGGACAACGTGAGATATATTGGAAAGCAAGAAGAACAGCAAGGAACAAAAAGTCTGGATCACTTCGTCCATGTCAAAGACAAACTTAAGACCCTAAGAAAATCAAAGGAAATCTACGAAAGATGGGGGACCTAATTCGAGGAGATAGCCTCTCGTCAACTCCAAGACTCCCAGAAGCCACGCAGATTGAAGAAACCAGTACCAACAATTACGGAAAGCTATTGCTAGTCGTAAGAAAATGGGTACTCAAGGCAACTCTTTTGAAAATAAGCTGAAGACGCTGAGATTAAATGAAATTTTTACAGAAATGCTGGTCCATTATCTTTCTTGCTATGATCAGGTGGCCATCTGCGTACTGGCGATTGAATCTTCAATTCGACTCCAAATTGAGACCGAATACGGCCATCGAAACCTGTGTTTCTATCATTACCATTTACTTTCCACATTTCTTACCAACCCATATAATGTCATGATGCTAGTGCAAGTCTGAAAAACGATCGCTTTCTTTTCTCAAACAGCAAAGCTTGACTTGCTCTATTGAATTATAAAATGCGGAATTTTGTTGATATTCTCTCGAAGTCAGTGGTCTCTCCTCGGAATTATTTGCGCAAGGTTATTTATTACTCTACCGACCAAGCCCTGCTTCGCTTACTTTACTAATTCGAGAGCATTTTTGCTGGCAAACGAGTACGCGTGAACACCACCCCCATAGCTTACAGAAATCTGTTGATCTTCTCTATCACATATGGGTAATTTATTCGCCGCAACCCTTCTTACTACTCAAGTGTACTCTCAATCTGAAACTCTTACTACTAGTCCAGGTTGAGAACGCATCCACCATGCAAACCTGGGTTATATAGAATATCACGGAGACGTTTTGCTAGCAATAATGGGGGCATGTTTACCATCTATGATTATATTTTTAAATTCTGAGTGTTGTAGTCTAGAGCAGTCACATACAGGCTCAATCAACACATAATCTTATATATAAAGCTGAATGTCTGTTTGTATGTCTGTCTGTATGTCTGTGTGTACGTATGTTCCGAATAGAAAATTCCATTACGGAACCGATCCGGATCAAACTTTGCACACATACACCCCGGGGCCGGGCGGGTGTCATAGGCTACTTTTCGTCATCGATCGATATTGATTTTATTAAATTTTCAAAAAGTTCTAGCTACGGGGCTGGGAGTTGGCACAGGGGGGGGTAAGTGAGCATGCTGATTACGAATATATTAGGTTGTCCGGAAATTAATGTCCGTTTTGAATTTCAACCGCAATAGGTTATACATTTCTCATTTCTGAATAGGTTGCAAGATACCATTTCATAGAGCAAAGGAAGCTCTACAAATGGCGATCTTGTTTTAGTAACATCTCTCATTAACCTTGAGTTTGGAGCCAAAAACTAAAATGATTCAGCTGCACGAGAAATTGAGAAGAATCGTAATTTATTTCATAAAAATCCTACAAAAATTCTAACTGGTCACGTAAACACTATCCATATAAGACATCTATATACACCGTTGCCGTCTTTTTCCACCTCTTAGAAACCAAGAAAGCGGAATTTTTCGTGCATTTTCTAAAGTGATGCTGTGCAGTCCGCACATGAGTGGTTCTATACTACAACCTTTAGAAGCACAAACGTAAATTTTCAGCTCTTTACAAGCTTTAGTTCTCGAGAAATTGGAATTTTGGCTTGGACCACCTGACCAGGGAAAGCCATATTCGATATTTTTCGAGAACCAACTCTTGTAAATAGCTGAAAATTTACGTTTATATTTATACTTCTACAGGTTTGTAGTATACAATTACTCATGTGGGGACTGCACAGCATCACTTTGGCAAATGCACGAAAATTTCCGTTTTCTTGATTTCTAAGAGGCGAAAAAAGACGGCAACGGCGCATATAGGTGTCTTATATAGATAGTGTCTACCTGAGCAAGTTAGAATTTTTTAGGAATTTCATGAACTAAGTTACGATTATTCTCAATTTTTCGTGCAGCTGAATTATTTTAGTTTTTGCCTCGAAACTTGAGCTTAATACAAGCTGTTGCAAAAATAAAATCGCCATCCTGTGGAGCTTGCTTTTCTCTATCGAATGGCACCTTGCAACCTATTCAGAAATAAGAAATGTATGACCTATTGTGGTTAAAATTCAAAACGGACATTAATTTCGGGACAGCCTAATATTAATGACAGGGCCGGGCGGAGCCGGGTTTGCCAGCTAGTTCTGAATCAGTTTGATAGTTTGGACCCAAACTTTATGGTGAACTTTGGTTGCGGTTGTATGAGTGACTATGTGTTACCAAGTGGGTTTGAATAAGTAAATAAATAAATAAATAAATAAATAAATAAATAAATAAATATAAACGAAAAATGGCAAAGCAACTGGTCCAAACTATGTACCAAGCGGTTTGAAGGTGCATGGAAGAGCCGGTTTTACATGGCTAACAAATCGTTCCAACCAATTATAAGGAGCAGCAGCATTCCTCGCGGCTGACATGTTAGCACGCGATTTCGATGTGGAATAGCAGAAAACACATAGAAGATTGTGGATCCTACCGACAATCCGACTGACGAGCCACAGTCGAAAAATCTTATCCTCGGTTGAGTAATCGAAATGCGTCACTTACCGAGATGTCATAGAGTTGTCATCAAATCAGCGCGGATTCATGGGAGGAGTACGACACCATTCACCTCACTCGGCTAAATATGGAGAAGCATAGAAAGAAGAAGAAGGAATTACAGGAGTGAGTAATTGAAATGCGTCATCAGATATAGTAGTTGTTACCAATCAATGCGAGTTCGCGAAAGGAGTATCGACCGACGCCATCCACATCACTCGGCTAGTGGTGGAGAAATACAGAGAGAAGAAGAAATTGCCTGCAGCCTTCTGGACGTGGAGAAAGGATAAGGTGCCTTATGAGTTCATATGGTGGGCCTTGCAAAAACACAAATTGTCGGAGGAGTTCAGTGGATAAAGTTAATCTACGACAACACTTCAAGCCGCTTGTAAACAGCTACAGGGCAATTGAAAGAATTGACGTTGGAGTACATCAAGGTTCAGTTCTGTATCCCTTGCTCTTCATCACTGTGACGAACGCCGTATTAGAGCCGCACAACGTGAACCTTCTTGCACACTTCAATATGACGATGTGATCTTGATAGTAACCAGAAAGGTGTTACACGACAGGTACAGAAATGGGGAAACAGGCTCGAGTTACGGCCTGAAGCTCAACACCAGGGAGATAATGTATGAAAGTGGGGGAACAAAATCCAGAAACTAAAGCACCGATGTGAAGAGCTAAGGAAGACAACGTCATATAAGTACTTAAACCATATATTAGCGGAACCTACAAGAAAAGGTCGCATGGCACGATGAACACACCGTGGATGAAATGAAAAACCTGGACCTTGAATCTGTGTAATGGACCGTTATATGTTCAGCAGCATAAGTCAGTAAGTGTTAGCGGTGTACGCGGAACAAGGAGCTCAGTGTCATAGAAAGAAGCCACGGTAAACTTTATGTGTCACACTGAAAGACCACTTCTGCAATGACACTATACAAGCCCATATCAAAGTAGCTCTGAATACTTAGAAGATGCACGGAAACAGGCTGCTAAGGTATGGACGTGCGCGCAAAAGGACGGAAAGTTATATCACGTGAAAAGAGTAGATAGCTGACAGTAAAGGCAAAGGCGAAAATCTCTGTGGCAGGCTTGAGATAGGGTGAGTAGACAGATAAAGCCTTAGCGAAGAAATCAAAAATTAAGATCTTGCCTCATGTAGGATAAACGGAGACTCTTGACAGGGACAGCCTGCCAACATGCATGAGGGGGACACATGCAAGAAATTAAAAGACCTTAGCCACCATTGATGCGAGGCTATGTTTGGAGCTGCAATGTTGAGTAAAGCGTACGTATTACAGACACTCATTACTTTATAATTTTATGTCTGGGAACCAGTTGTGCATATTTCTTGGAAAGACTGTCACTTTAGCTTTGCATGATATTGCTGAAATTTGTCAGATCAAGGTTATGTTCTTTGACCCATATACATCTTACTAAGAAGTAGCTTTCATTTCGCTATGCATTAGTATGTGGTGGCGATCACAATTTAGTGACTGGGCATATCACGAATGCCGTTTTCTCAGGTACTACTAGGGTTACAATTTAGTGAGTCGCATATGCAAGACAAGTTCATGAAGTTTGAAGCACTTGCTCGAGGCAATGCCTTAGGAACAATCGCTTAGAAGTCAACGACAAATCTTGGAAAACCTTTGCAAACAATTTATCCCATACCTCTGTCACGTATAGTAAAGATCGAGACGTAGACTTTTGTATTTGGCTAGCTTTCCGAATAATTCATTTCCTTACACAGATCAGTGTACAGAGCTGATTTTTTCCGCCAGCGCTTAAAGTTGCAAAAGCCAATTTTTTTTCATGAAATAGACTTGAAGATAGATTAGGAACACAGAGTGTGTTCCCGCTAGCCTGCTGAAGAGCTTTTGCTGACTACGAATGCTAAGGGGTACGTTGCGAATGGTGATTTAAGAATGGGACTCAAAAGATTGGGAAGTACGTAGTGCAAACTCACGACCAGAAGATGTTCCACCATCAACATAGATGTGAATATCATCTTGTCTTTTTTCACGTTCTAATTGTCTTTTGTCTGCTTCTGCTACAGCTGACATCGTTATTATGAATAGCATTGTAAAGAAGAGCATGTTTGCCATGTAGACAATCCTAAAATGTTCATTTGAGCAAGTGCCTGGCGAGGAAAACTAACGAAAATTAGGAGCACGGAAGTCTACAAGACTATTTGACCTCGCGCTAGCTACTTGTTTTTTTTTAACCCATGGATACTGGTATTTGAATTGTGGTCCCTCGCTCACAAAGAAACGCGTTACACATTTTTTTGCTTCAAAGCGGCACTTGTCAAGCAAATGACGCATGTGAAGCAGTGAACACACGCTTAGCCAAAGTTTTAGATCAGATCAGCCAGTGCATTTTCCGACCAGAAAAGTACATACAGTAATGTAGCAATGCTACTCAGATTCTTTACAAATCACTTTTTACGGGCGGAATTACCTGTGGAGCCATGAAGCAATGAAATTTTATAAGAACCATGTTGAAACACTCAGCAAATATTTGAAGCTGGCAAACACCATACGTGTTGATCTTATGTGCAGACTGTGTACCTAGTACATTTCAAATACAATTTCACACGCGTACAAAGTCCGTACAAAGTCCACAAATCAGCTAACATTTTTTATTCTACAAGAATTGACAGATTGTCACGTTTCTCTATGTAATTTCTTTTCCTCTTATTACAATTTACTTGGGGCTTTTTGCCAGGAATTTTAGAACTTTCAATATAAATTGTTAGTATGCTACCTCAACATCCTGCAAGACACCGCGAGTGAACTCGTTTCCACTTTGGAAATTCGACGTTTCTGCAATTGAATGAAGAAATTTGAGATCCTTATGAATTTAGACTAATTCAGCCACCTTTGCTTTGCCAGGTACTGCATTTTAGCCGATCTCGATTTTATATTCAGCGTTTCGCTTTGCCTTCGTCTCTTCTGAGACGGAGCTATAGCTGGGATATCCGTTCATTTTCGTGAAATTTTTGGGATTTGCGTGACCTCGTCATAATTTTTCGTGAAGCAAATATTGAGGCCTGCATGCCGAACTAAGCTCGTGAGGCAATTTTCTGAAAGGTTACAGTGTGTTCGTGATTCAATAGTTAGACATATAGTGAAACTTTATTATTTTCCGTGTGGTGCCTTCGTGAGGGTCTAGAGAACGTCATTTCATTAACCGTAACGCGCATGATGCACATGGTTCGCAGCGGTAAAAACACGCGCACCGTGTTTGCGCAAGTGTGTAATACATGTAATATGTGATTTGTTCCTCCGTCGGTGGTAGCCTCTACTTCAATGACTATGCAAAAAAAAACAGTCCCAATGAGAAGCTTTTAGCGCGCATATGAAATGTTTTTCCTAAGATCGGAAATCCTCTTTCAAAGGCAGAAAAGTGACAACCGATCGGAGAAATGATGCACTGATTCACTCTTTCCACAAGGTAATTTACTGATCATTCTATAAAAGTAGTTTCAAATTAGATTCAAATAATATCTTTGCAAATATATATAATATATATAGCTCTATACATATAAAACTCAAAAATTGTCTGCTTGGAGGGTATGTGAGCTATAGAAACGCACGCCGCTCAACCGATTGGGCTAAAACTTTGCATACAGATGTCCTTGATCCAGGAGACGGTTTTAGAATACTTTTTACTAAAATTCGCTGGGTCCTTCCATCGATTTATGGATTTGTTTACGTTTTCCTAAGGAATTGGAAGCTTATCATGTTTAATCAAGCATTTTCCGTAGTCATGTAAAGGAGGGCGGGAAAGCTCACTTTTACAGGATCACGAGGATGCGGTTTGAAGCGGATGTCTCAGGGTAAGTCATCCATAACATTTAAGAGGGGGGAGGGGTCTTGCAGTGCAGGTGACCAATGGCCCGGGCTGGACCGAGAAAGCCAACTAGTCACTGATAATATCATAATTTTGAATTTTTTAATGTATGATAAGAAAAGAACGCTAAGAATCTCTTAGTACAGAGTGTCCCAAAAAATGTGAACACTGTTTGATCGTTAATAACTCCCTTGCTTTTATGTCTTCCGCCGAGCTTAAGGCACCATTCTATAGTGCGAGGCCTAACTTAGATGTACAGTATGGAGCGAATCGTCGATCTCTCTTCATTACTGTAGGATTACGGTAGGAACTTTGACAAGGATTTTAAGCCGTTGAAAGCCATATTCTGCCTCGGAACAAAACCAAACAGGCCAAAAACTTTTATACATGGGTAGTGGAAGCCGCTGAGTTCGAATATGAAATTTCCACTTCACTGTGACGCTTCTTTTTAAGGTTATCCCAGGTAAACCTTAATAACCGAATTTCCAGCATTTGTCAAAAATGTGATTACACCGTCAAAAAAGCTAAAAACACTTGTAAAAAGGAGCGTTATGGAATCAGCTTGCGCTAAACCCTTAGTACACGATTTTTCAGGTTTTTTAAAAAAAATTTTGTCAGTTGGCATATTTCACAATAGATCCACATGCCAGAAGTTCATACCGTAATCCTACAGTAATGAAGAGCGACCGGTGACCCGCTCCATGTCACAAATCTAAGCTGAACCTCGCTCTACAGAATGGTGCTTCAAGCTCTGCGAAAGACATAAAAGCAACGGAGTTATTAACGATCAAACAGTGTTCACATTTCTTTGGGACACCCTGTATACATTATGCCCGCATCCATGGTGATACGGTAGACATTTGGTAATATTGTTATTTTCTATGATTACGCTTTTCTGAAAATGTATCCGGATGAAAGCTGCGAACAATAAAATGGGTATTAAGTTTTAATTATCAAAAACTGTCGGAAAGAATTTTGCGGTTTTTATTCACCCATATCATTGATATAGAGTTTTTATCAGTTACCACTGCTAATATGTATTATGATTTTGAATCACTTTCGGTATGTTGAGGAAAGTAACGTTGGAAACGCTGCGGAAGTTATTATGGTTCTATCTTTCAAAGTAAGTCATCTACAAGCTTCCGTTTACATTGCTCGGTGCAATTATTGGACCACTCGGTGCAGCAACCGATTGGTTGCACATCGGTATCCCATTGCAACCCTCGCTGAAATCGCACTCTCGCGTGGCTGGCTGCCCAAACCTCGGAGCTGAAGCTCTGTACGGAAGCAGTATAAGTTGAGCGGGCCGAATTTGACGCGCGCATCTCTTCAACGTTCTAAACCTTACGCCTCATGCGCTCTGCGCCAACAAAGCCGCGTTCGCGCCCAAAGGTATTGCGCCTTTGTCACGCAGTGGCCTATATGTGAAAGATGAATACTGGGAATGTCCTCAACGGACAGGGGCATTTTTATCTATTCTTGTATATATATATATAAAACTTAAAGTCTTTGGGAACGTTCGTAGGTTCTTAGCGCTTTAAAAACGCCAGCCGTTGGACCGATTGAGCTGAAACTTTGCACACTTATGTTTTCGACCTCGGCGGTGGTTTAGGGCCACTTTTCGTGACATTATTGGACCCTTTTATTGATTTGTTGATTTGTTTACTCAAATCCAGAAGAATGAAAACTTTTCATGATCCAACCGATCAATTTTCCATAATCATGTAAGCAGGGGCGGTAGAGTCCATTTCTATCTCTAAGTCGGAAAGATGCGGCAAGTGGTCTCAAAGCGCTTTTTCCGCATGTTTGAAGAAGTTTAGAAGCGTAAGTTTACACGTTTAGCTAAATTAATTTAGAGCCTCGGGTGAGGCCTGGGCTATCAGCTAGTCTTTTATATGCTAAAAGCTTGTTACTCTCGTAAATCTTTTCCATAACTCTACTCTACGTATTTTGCTTGGTGTTTGGCTAACGTAAGTTCTCTTAAATCTGCATTGATTTTGTACACCATTTTAACCTAGGTCTTCCTCTTTAAGCCGCATGCACTAACCTCCCCGCCGGGGAGAGGGGGGGGGGGGGGAATCGCGGCTTTAGAGAAAATTTCGTATCCTAAAGCTCCAGATGTATAATTTTTACGCTATCCGTGAGTATTCCTACCATCCCTCACCATGAACATATTGAATAGGAGCGAGTGCCTGTACAAGCCCATTCTCCGGCTTTTTGTATAATCTCCTGATGATCCTCGGCTGCCCAGCGTATCAAACTCATTTTTTTTCTTCAAAAGATAACAAAAACCTTTTAAAGTTGAACTGTTATCTAACCCATCATCATGGTTGAGCAAGAGGTCAGGCACAAGTCCTTCAAACCCCCCCCCCTATAAAAACCCTGTTATATTTTGAAAAAACCAACATTTACCATAGGTTTCTGTTTTTCAAAAGTCTGTAGGCTCGACTTTCTCGATTGCACAACCACACGCAACTTGATGGCAAGTTTCGTATCCGGATAGCCCTCTTTTCGATGCTGTAATTTTCACAGGGGTGGAGGGTTTGGCTCCAAATTTTCAATACAGCAAGAAGATTTTGCGCTTAATATTCGTACTAAAAAAGGGGGATTTTTGAACATTGAAGGTAAGTTAATAGGGTCATTCGCAACCCTCAAAAGGTCAGGCAGCCTGACCTTTTGAGGAGTTGCGCCCCCATTAACTTCATTTCCGAAGAAGCATTATGCAAGTTTTATGTGATTTGCTACCTCTACCCTCGAAGATTTCACAATAAATGTTTGAGCTTGATTCGACCTGTTTCGGCTTTGTGCTAATCCGAAGAGAAGCACTCAAGTGAAAAACGCGCTTGTTGGAATTTTCGCAGCACTTCTTACTTCACTGTTTGAAAGGGGTATGAAGCCCAACTTGCAGTATAGACTTGCAGAGAAAATTACTTTGTTATGAGTATAGAAAAGCTGACTTGTTCCTTTTTTTAAAATAAGTTAATCATGTTTGAAAATCACGCTTTTTAGACGTTGAGAAGTACTAAAAACTGCAGTAGGCAATGGTTTGTAGAGCGCATAGAAGTAATTTGGCCCGCTGATTACGGAAATGATACCCATTTCACAAAGTAAGCTTTTTTGTCGACCTCGTGATATGCCAAGGTAAAAGATGAAAACATTTTGGCTGAAATTTCGATTGTGGAAACAATCCGTATGCTGACGACCTTCATTCTTCAGGTGATTGCGATATCCACGGAACTAGCGCATTTCTTCCTCGTCGTAGTATCTCCT